TATAAGATGAGGAAAGCCAAGTATTTCTTTATGAGAAAAGATGAAGACACCTGGAGAGAACTCTTCTGGGAAAGTCGTGGGTGGAGGGAGTGGTTGTAGGAGTGCCCAGTAAACGCAGGGAGGCGTGAGGTGAGGAACTTGCATGGCTGGTTGGAAGTGGAGCGAGAGAGATTGATTTTGTGAGCTCCCTAAGAAGCACAGATGTTGTGGGGAGAAGATTTTTAAAGGGACTTTTCATAGTGGCCATATGATATTTAGTGTAACTTATTTTTCCTTCCTTCCTTCCTTCCTTCCAATCTCCCTTTTCTTCTTTATTTTTTCCTTTTATGTATCACTGCATTTGTTTCTTCATTTAATTTTCCTGAAATTGTTTCTTTGCATTATCATGTTGACAAAGACTGTCTCCTTGACCAAGTTTTAGTCAGGCTCCTCTGAAGACCTCTTCTCAACCAGGCTTTGCTGCTAGCTCCAGTCCTGTCTTTAGTCTTCCCAGCAAAACCCTCGCAAAGACTTCTGCTAAATTGTCCTCCCGTCCTTCACAGTCCTTGACCTGCCTTCAGAAAGAATCCTGTTAGGTCCATTTAATAAGAATTCCCCTGTCTTTGATGTCACCTCTTAGTAATTTTTCACCTCCTTATCTCGTTACCATGCTCCTTGGCTATAAATCCTCACCTATCTTTGTTGTATTCTGAATTGAGCTTGATCTTTCTCCCCTATTTCAATAGTCTTGAACAAAGTCTTCCTTGCTGTTTTAATAAGTGTCAGAATAATATATATATATTTTTTTATTAAAGATTTTATTGGGGAATTGGGGTTGGGGAACAGCGTTGGGGAATCGGGGAAGGGGAACAGACAAGTTGCTGTCCTTTTGTTTTTCAGTCCGGTTGTGGAGGACGTTGCTTCATTGGCCCATGTTGGTATTGTGATCATTGCACTCTTCCCGGCTGAGGCAGTCAGTTACCGGCCATTGGATGGCTACTCATGGCAGCTCTTGGCAGCTCACACTGGCTGCCGGCCACACACGGTAGCTTATGGCAGCCCACTGCAGCAGGGGCTGCAGCCTATGCC